AAATGGACCAGGTACTCTACTTAGTGTGTTATATTTGTAATAATACAAATGCCCTATAAAATTACTGACATCGCTCAATTTTATAAAGAGAAACACCGAGAGAACTAAGTATCTAGCTAAATGTTAAGTAACACTTCAATAAGCAGACCTCCCTCCCTCCCTCCCTCCCTCTCTTTCTGTGTATGTATTTGTAGGCAAGATATATGTTAAAGTACATTTTCCCCTGGAGATCTTAGTTGTTTCTTAAATCATTTGAACGTTGGTTTCCCCACATCTACAATGAGAGTCATGAAAAACTGATAAGAAAATAATAATGAGTAAGTGTGATTTAGAAGAATAAGTAGAGCACTTAATTGAAAGCACATTTCAGGCACCCATTAGATGCAAAGTGATGCTGATGTGGGGAGAGGAGGAGGAGAAGCCAGAGATGATTTCATGAGGATTCCTCCAGCTGCAGAATCATAGTTGAGTATGAACTGGAATTACCCCCTTGCCAGCTCATGTTATTTCAGTATGGCTGCGTTACATCAAAATGTGCATCACGGTGATTCGAACCGAGGAGCCTCAAGGAGCAGAGATGGATTCAGAGTTAGTGTTCTGAATCTTTTATGGTCCTTTCAGTATCCTGTCCTGTGTGAACTGGAAAAGCCACTAGCTCCCCTCATGCTGGCCTCATATAAGCTTTCATTTCAAACTATTTCTGGAAGCTCATACTTCTGGATCTTAATGAATTGTAATGTCATTTTGTAAGAGTGTTGTTAACCTCTGGCCTCAGCTTCTGTCTGCCAACCACTTATTTTTCTTCCTCTTTAACAAGTATTACTCTATCATTTCAGGATGTCCAGGGAATAGGGTAAAAGTCCAACTCTCACACATTAACGTTCTGCAACCCTGTTTTCCTCCTCTCTTCCCTTTGTTCCCGATCCGTTCCACAATTCACTGACAAACAGGTATTCACAGTCCTTAGTGAGTTAGAGATATTTTTAGTTGGTCTCTGATCTTCCCCTTTTTTGCCCCTCCAATTAGTTGTTCCAATTTCTCTTTGATTTACCTGGATTGCATTGTGAAAACACTTTGAGATTTCATATAATAGAATCGCTTGAAACATGCAACCAACCGCTGCTGTCGCTTCTACTCATTCATCTCAGCTAATGGGAAACTTCTTATGATGATGTTCTGTATGCTGTCCTCCTATTTAAAATTTTGTTCCTGCATTTGCTTCCCTGCCAATTCTTTTCAGGGTCATGTATAAACTTTTCAGGGTCATGAATATAAGTTCCTTTTTATCTGTTGAGTAAAGCCAACCTCCTTCAAGTCAAATTTCAATGTCTATAGTTTGCCTTCATTTTGTAAAAACTTCTTTGGAAACTAAGCCCACGTCCTTCTCAAACCTCTTACGCTGACAGGCAGTTTAAAGCCAGAGAAGATCCATAGTACCGTAGTACCATAATACCTCAAAGCTGATCAAGAGGGCCATTTCTCTGTAAGTTTATTTGGTTTAAATTTTTTGCTTCAAGGAACTACTCCCAAGTATCGCACTTGATATATTTTTTTCCTATTTAGTTTTTCCCCAAAATCATAAACTTAACTATGCAATGCAGCTAGACATGGAGGGGAATAGGGAAAATATGGAACCCAAGGAGCTTCAGTGAGAGCAGAGATTGCATGGTATTGCAAGCAGATGGGGTGTGGCACCCTCCTGAGCTACAGAAGGAATGGTCTGGTGGGTAAAGATGCCTGCAAGTCAAGAGAGTTAGAGTTGTCCACAGTCAGAAACCGTGATCTTTATGCTTTAAAAAAAATTCTGTGAGTCCACCATGGGTCATTTATTACCCAGAACCACCCCCTATATTAAAATCATTGTAAGAAGAGTTTTCTCATTGCAAGACAGTACCATTTTACACTTTCCAAGAAGAAACCAATAAAAAACAGAAGACGTCTCAGAAATGACCCATTTCAGACCAATTTTAAGCTCATGAATCCACTTATCAGTAAATAAGATTAAGCTTACCCTAGGAACTGGCAGCAAGGTGTATGGTATGGAAAGGTTTGCAAAGGGCTAAGGAAGTCTGCTTTCTATAAATGAGAATGTCCTTCAGAACACAGAAATAATCAATGTCCTTTGTTCATTAGACGCCTACGATTCTGCAGCAAGGTACCCAGGTTATTGTAATGCACTGTGATGGCTGTGGGGGAGAGTTTTTAGCATTGTGGGTGTTAATATTAGCAAACCCCTAAACTAAAAGCAAAACAGCCCATGACATATATTTTAAGGCAGTGGTTCTCAACCTGTGGGTTGCAACACCTTTGGGGGTTCAAACTGCCTTTTCACAGGGATTGCACATCAAATATCCTGTGTATCACATCTTTATATTTAACATATTTACATTACGATTCATAACAGCAGCAAAAGTAAAGTTATGAAGTAGTAATGAAATAATTTTATGATTGGGGTCACCACAACATGAGGAATTGTATTAAAGGGTCACAGCATTAGGAAGATTGAGAACCCCTGACCTAAGGAAAAGACACCCATTAGAAACAGAACATTTTAGTTTTATGGAAAAAGCTTTCTCTGGGAAAGCACACTGATACAGCACATACATGTTGTCAGAAAGGATGTATGATGCAGGCCTAGCCAACCCCCTCATTTGATGCTGCTCTGGTCAGCCCTTATATAATGTAAAAGAGGTGCAGAGGATGCCACTAGAGCAATGGTTCTCAACCTGTGGGTCACGACCCCTCTGGGTTGCACATTAAGTATTTACATTACAGTGCATAACAGTAGCAAAATTACAGTTGTGAAGTAGCCACAAAAACAATTTTATGGTTGGGGGTCACCAAAACATGAACTGTATTAAAGGGTTGCAGCATTAGGAAGGCTGAGGACCTTTTATTGAAACCTTGGAATAGATATAGGGAAAAAAAGATTGAAAACAAATTGTAGAATGCACACTTACATTTTCTTATGGACATATAGACTATTAGTACTTAGAATTGGAAATAAGCTGTAGCAATATTTAACTGTGATGATAGAAAAATTCATGGGAGTCTTGAGACAATTATAATGAAGGAAGGATTGTAAAATTACTTCTGGAAGTCATTGGTGGGGATAACTTTTTATTATGCTCTTTGAATATAAGAATATGAAATGAGCAAATTCCTCATTAAGTAATTTTCTTGAAAGAAACACTAGCCCTAAATGAGTACTATTATAGCATATGGATTGGCTTGCTTAGTGTAAGAATAAGATTTAACAAAATAGTCATAAAGCATGTAACTACTTTAAAGTCTGAGATGAAAGCATAATAAATCCTTTTAAGAAATCTTAGGCATTGAGAAATGGTGTTAATTGGTGAATTTGAATTTTTGGAAAAGAAGAATTCCAATTTCCTTTCTGAAAAGTAACCTCTGACTAGATGGACAAGATCATACTTTACTGTGCATAGTTATTACTTTGAGAACAAGGTATAAAGACCATAACACATAAGGCAGAAGACTGTAATTCCCTGTCATCTCCTCTACTAGTCAGCAGTGTGACTTTGGACAGGACATTCTTTGAGTGTTATTCCTCAGAGTCCTTGTTGGCAATCTCTGACACCACCAGAGATAATGGTATGTAATTCCTTTTCTTTCCCTGTCACTCTATCCAGTTATTTTATTAAATACTTTACATATGCCCAAATTCCTTTTTCGTGTTGGTGCTGCAAATTGAACCCAGGTCCTTGCACATGGTAGACAACTGTTCTACCACTGATCTATACTCCTAAAGCCCTAGAGTTTCATTTTCAACATATTAAAATGTGTTTTCCTCATTTTTTAAAAGCCTTAACAAAGCTTAAATTGTTAGTGACAATCTCAAAGCATAAATATAAATCACTCTAGCCTAGAAATTAAGAATTAAGTTAGCTAACACAGCAAATGGTCATCTTATACTTTATAAGTTTATGATTAAAACCCTTATTGATTTCTTATGATCCAACTGTCAAAACTGCTCCCCATTTTCCACTTAGTACATTTTGTGTTTGTTTCAGAGATTTGGAGATAGGTATTAACATTTGTTCTCTTTACATACTGTTGTTCCATACAAGTTTTCAAAAAAAAATTTCCTTCTAAATATTCAGGAATATAACATCATATTTATTATTATAACTCAAGGTTATTTCAATCTCTGCTACATTTGTTTACTCATGGATCACACGTTGAACCATTAAGACAATTTAGAAGCTTGAAAGTGTGGTGATAATGACTTCATGATGACATGAAGGACGAATGTATGGTCAGTTAAGTTTTCACATGACTGACACATTACACACTGACATTCAAATGGCTTCAGTTCCACAGAGTGTACTCATAGAACATGAAATCTGAGCAGTGAATTCAAGTTTAATACAAACAAAACGCAATTTTGACATTTAAATTCCCAAACTGAAACTAAATATGTAAAGACAGAAATAATTGGTAAATTTGTATATCTTTACGTCTCTTAAAAAACAATCTAAGGTGTACATTAGCAATTGGATATGTAATTGAAACTAGTCGGGAACAATATTAAACAATTTGATCTTCACAGTTTTCAAGAAAGCTCAGAATATTCTTTGAAGGCTCATTATGAAAAAAAAAAGCACTATCATGCTATGTACTCTTTTTGTTGGGAAAACAGAGAGGAGGGAGGATTCCCTACAGTTTCACACTTCAACGTGAGAAGATTCATTGGCCTCAAGCTATGCTATGTATCTGCAGCACAGAAGGTTATAGATGGATTGGTCACTAAGATAAGAATAAAAAGAAATCAAAACAAAACATTTCTATATGGGGAAAGAGACTCAAGCTATGAGAAGCATATTTTAGAAATGACATTTTGCTAAAAAGATTTGACTCACAGCTTTCTCCTGACTAAACATTTTCCCCTTCTGCTTTCAGGGCTCGTCTCTGAAAGCAGTCAACAGCTGGCTGAAGATTCCCACTCTGCCTCCTAGATGACAGTCTCAGCCTCTTAC